AAAGCACTGCTACCTACTTCCTGGCTCTTCCCACTTCTAGGTATATTCCCAAAGAATCCAGAGCTGAGACTCAAACAAATTTGGTACGCCCATGTTCGTATCAGCATTACTCACAACAGCCGAAGGAAACAACCCAAATGTCCCTCACAGGACAAAGGGATCAAGAGAATGAGGTGTATATATACAATGGAAAATTATTCGACCTTAAAAAAGAAAGGAGGAAATTCTGACATATACTACAACATGAACAAACCCTGAGGTCATTATGTTGAGTGAAATAAGTCATACACACAAGGCCACACACAGTATGATTCCAGTTACATGAGGTTCACAGCGTCTGCAAATTCATACAGAGAGTAGAACAGCAGTTACTGGGGGCTGGGGAGGGGAGAATGGGGAGCTACGGTTTAACAGGTACGGAATATTCAGTTTGGGATGATGGAAAGTTCTGGCGATGGAGAGCGATGATGGCTGTACAACAATGCAAAGGTACCTAATGCCATTGACCTACACACTTAAAAATGGTTAAAACGGTAAATTTCATGCTACATATATTCTCCCACAATACAAAATTGATATAAAAAAGGCATATACTGCATCCTATAAGATAGAATCCCATTCCCTGACAGCGTTATCGCCCAAGTGCCCACCACTGAGTGTTCAGAAGTCCGCTGCCTCTAGGTGAGGGGTACCGGGACCAGTGAGCCCCCTGATGCACGAAGGAAGTCCGCCGGTGCCGTGCTGGGGCTTCTCAATGGTCTCCGCCATTGGCAGGTTAGGTACCCGACACCCGTGGCCGGCAGGTCAGCCTCAGGGAAAGGAAGTCTAGGTTATGGGGCCTGCACGGCCTCCATCCCTGCCACCACGGCGGCTTAGTTCACGGACCCACTGAACACACACACACTGACGTGCTGGGGGAGAGCCGGCCAACAGCCCCCACTCCTGTTGGCTGCTTCTGTCCCTGAGCGTTGCTCACGCTTCCCTGTTGCCTTGTGTGTCTCAGGACCCAGAGATTGAAATATGTTGGACGTACGTTAATCCATTGTCGAAGCTGAAGTTCGCTTTCCTGAACTTCTAGAAGGAGGTGTGGGTCAGGATAACGTTTCTAATTTCACAAGGTTGTTTTCATTTGGGGTTGAAAAATATGGCAACTGGCCTTCTGAGATCTGGGGCCTGTCTTCAGTTCCTCCACACATATCTGGGGCTCACCTTTCCTTCACCCCTGCCCTGGTCAGTCTGATCCCACTCTCAGCAATTTCTCTGCAGTGTGGGTCCCTGTCTCAGAGGTCAGCCCAGGAGGGTCAGTGTCAGGACTGAGAGTACTCCTGCCTCCTGGACCTTACTGAGGGCCCCCAGCATTCGCCCGCTGTTGGACCAGACAACCCTCCCAGCTTCATCAGCTGGTCCCACCACACCTCCCTCCCTGGCAAAATCCTTGGCTACCCCGGGGTCTCAGCTCTCAGGTCCATCAGCTGTCCCTGCTTCCCTCTGCTTCCCCTGGCACCAAAGCAGATGCTGTGCAGGGCCTGTGGCCGTGCTTGATCTGCCCCCACCCATTTGTACTTTGGGGGATCACGGGGGTCAGTTCATAGTAATATCTCCTCACCTCATTTTTTGGTATTATCAACAGGGTTTTTGGTTTTGCTCTCTAGTTACCATTTCTACGTGGGGTTTCACAGAAATTCAAAAAGTATGCCACCACAGCCTTCACGTCCCCAGAATCTCCACCCCGAATTGCTCATCACCATTTTTATTGTTGTAGGCAACCAGTATTTGGGTGGATTTGCCCTCATGGTTTCCAATCCCTTTGCCCCCTTCTTTCTTTCTTTTTTTTTTTTTGTGGTATGCGGGCCTCACTGTTGTGGCCTCTCCCGTTGGGGAGCACAGGCTCCGGACACGCAGGCTCGGCGGCCGTGGCTCACGGGCCTAGCCGCTCTGCGGCATGTGGGATCTTCCGGGACCGGGGCGCGAACCCGTGTCCCCTGCGTCGGCAGGCGGACTCTCAACCACTGAGCCTCCAGGGAAGCCCGTCACTCGCTTTTTAACTTGAGTTTTAATTTCTAAGAGTCTTTCCAAACACAAAACAGAGGTGGGAAGATGGTAATATGGGAAGCTGCAGAGATGAAATAAGCTTACTTCATTCGGCATAAAGATGAATACCCAAACAACTTCTGCATAGCTGAAAGTGTCCAAATCTACTAGCTTCATTTTGTAGTCAAGGCTTCCGGAAAAGTATGCTAACGGATTCCGGCATGTGGGATCTTTCCGGACCGGGGCACGAACCCGTGTCCCCTGCATCGGCAGGCGGACTCTCAACCGCTGCGCCACCAGGGAAGCCCCCCTTCTTTCTTATAGCTCACTCCTTCCGAGTCGTCTTCTCCTTCCCGGGTTATGTCCTCAGCGCTTCTCTCAGCAAAGGCCTGTTGGTGATAAGTGCTCGTCATGCTCGCCTGTGAGTATCTTTATGTTTCCCCTTGCTCTTTGCTTAACAGCTGAGCCGATTTTATCATTCCAGTTGAAACTATGGTTCCATTGCCTCCTGGCATCTAGGGTTGCGTTTGATACGTCGGCTGTTACTTGTCCCTTTGTACATAATGATTTTTAAGTTCTACAGGGTAGAAAGCTGCCAGCTGGTAACAAGGTAAGCGCTGACTGACAGGCAAAAATAAGAATAGTAGAAAAGGATGAAACACACTTTAAACGGCAAGGAGCTCTCCACGCGTCAGGTGAGAGCCAGCAGCCCAGCAGGGCCTTGCAATGGTCCCAGGTAGAGTCCAAGCCTGGGCTGGTGAGGGACCCCCCACTCTGAAGGAGCTCCACTCCCGGGGCGGGGGACAGGGACCCCTCTGGCCTCCAGGGAGCTAAGCCGGGTGCTGTCCCGTCAGCCTTCTTGGTGTTGCTCCAAGTCCTGCCCCAACTTCATGTTACACAAGGAACCACACAGTCTCCCCAGACACCCTGGGAGGGGCAGCCTGCGGCTGCATGAGCGCACCCCCCAAGAGAGCTCAGCCTGCCCTCTCTCCTGGGCCCCCATATGCTCTCCACACCCTTCCCCTCCTCCCTCACAGGGTCTCAGCCCCACGGGTCATCTTTCAGGTCCTCGAATGGAGCAAGCTCCGTCCTCGGGGCCTTCGTCCGCGGTCCTTCGAGCATGACTGTCTCCACCCGCGCCCCCTCGTCCCTGCCTCTGCTCAAGGGTGGGCGAGAGTCAGCAAGTCTCAGCTCAAGGGCTACCTTCTCGGGGACGTCTCCCACCACCGACCTCGAATTTTTCCCACCCCCAGCTGAAACCCCCTCTCCATCACCGCCCCGAGCCCTCTCAAACCCTCTAATTACGTTGTCCGTTGTTTCACTTGCACTCAGTGCTCCTGGGAGCCCCAACAGTGAGCCCCAAGGGTCGCGTTCACTGTTACTCTCACAACATGCAGACCATCCATAAGTGCTCAGTAGACCTCCAGCTTAAGGATGGTGGGCTGGATCGAGCATTCATTGTTTCCTCCTGAATTTCCACTAAAATGGCAGTAAAGGGATTTTTTTTTTTTTTTTAAGGCAAAGACCCACAAAGACAGAGAGACAGAAGAGGACAACAGTCTCATCTTGGAAGCTGAAGCTGAGGTACAGGTGGCCATCCGCTGAGCCAAGTGCAAGAGTGGTTCCGACGTGGCCGGGGGAAGACCCCAGGCCCAGGAAGACTCCGTGTGAAGCCACTCCGGGGGAGCAGCAGTCCGGGGGTCAGTCTCCAGCACCCCCCACCCCCACTCAGGCAGAGCCCTCGGCCTCTAGCTGCATTCAGCTCCACCACCCAACCCGGCAACGGCCCCTTCCCCTTGGGGTCGTTCCGGGGAGTGAGACGGTGAGCGCCTGGCCCATGGCAGGGGACCCATCAGTGATTGTTCAAGGGTCAGAAGAGCCAGGTGAGGGGCCAGGTCAGAACTCCAGCCCCCCCACAGGAGCCCTCGCTGGGAAGGAGCTGAAAATGGCACGGCCCAAGGGAGGTCCAAGCCACCCAGAGCCACACTGGTCCTCACAGCCAGACTCGCAGCCCACAGCTCCCGGCACTTCCTCTCCCCCCAGACGGCCTCCCGGGGAGTCAGCTGGCCCCTGAGAACAAGCCAGCAAGGCCATTTCCAGAGCAGCGGGAGATACTGCAATCAGGGGCTACAGTTCACCTGGCCCTCCTGTTACACTGGTTTGTTCAAGCCTTCTCACAAGCCTTTCTAAGGCCAACTTCCCGTGACATTCCTCTGGTCGAGCTCTAGGGACCAACTTCCCTTCCCAGTCACAGCTCCCCACCGACCCACCCCTGCACCAATGCTGCTGGGAGGCCCCTCTGCACCAGCTCTACTCTGGAATCTGTTCTGCTTCCCCAGGCAGGGGCTCCAGGACCCAGTGAGGGGAACGGACGTTAGAGCAAGGGGATAGAACCACAGCACAGACAGAGGAGCCCCCACAGGACGCCTGCCGGGGGCTCGGGCAGGGCTCCTCAACTCCTGCCCGGCCTACGACTGGCTTCACTGTTGCTTCTTAGATAAAAAGGCAGGAGCGCAGAACTCGGTCTGCCCTTCCCAATCTCGTAGTCACACACTCCAACCAACATCACAATTTCAAGGGGAGAGACAGTCCCAGGAGAAAAGCGACCACGGTGAGGTCTGTCAGTCTGGCTACTGTGATGGGGATTTAACTCTCATAAAAATCTCTTGTCAAAACGTCCCATACCATAGGACTCTATATTTTTAGTTTTTATATGCTATCCCCTAATAAAACTTATTTTTGCCAGTTCATTTATACCCAAAATGTACTTACTACAAACACCTGGGAGAAACTTACTGTGTTTCAAACGACGCTTTCATTTCATTCAGTTATCATCAAAGAAGCAGCCACAAGGACATCACGTAAACTGCTCGTTTATTAGCACTGGTACTGGGAAAGAACACTCCCGTAAACGTGCGCAGCTGCAGGGAGGTGACAAGGGGGGGCTCCGGCGTGCGAACGGCGGGTCCTTACTTCTTCCACTCGTTCCTGTCGTAGTCCCACTTGGCTGAGAAGCCCTCGATCGGGGCCACCTTCATGTCGAGCATCCTCTTGGTCTGCTTGGCCACCCACTCCTCCTCAAAGGTGTGCGGGATGGGGCCATACACTGCAGTCCAAAACAACTTCGTGAGGCAACGCTGTCCTGACCAGGTGTTTCCAAGCCAACGCGCTACACGGGTGAGGGCTTCCCCCATCTCACTGGCAACCCGAGCAGCACAGTCATCTGCCACTTGACAGCCACACGCAGGCAAACACACTGATTTCGAATCCTGGGCACTGATAACTCGGTATTTCCAAATTATTCCTTCGTTTGTAAAAGCAAGCAATAAAATGCTTAAGCTAAAAGCAGAACGTCCTCTCTCTAGGATACAGAAAATGGGTCTACAGGCAAGCACAGAGCACAAACAGAAGGAAAGGTGACACGGGGGAAGAGCAGAGGGTCACAGGTCTGTCACCAAGCGGCGTCCACAGGCAGGCCACAAATACAGGATCACACCTACTCAGCATGGGAAGATACCTACTCGACTGGACAGAGAGAATGCAGGACAGGCAGCACTAGAACAAGCAAGCAGGCAGCCCAACGCTGGCCGGGCAGAAACTGCTAGGTCCGAAGACCCAGAACTCCGGTTACTGAGCTGCAGTCCCCAACAGCTGAAACAGCCCTTGACGTGTCAAAATTCCCTTCTCCTCGATCTAACCTCCACTACTCCTTCCTCTGACAACTGACTGGCGGTGAGCAGAGAAACCACTACTGGATACGTGGCGTGCTGCACAAAGGAAGCCGTTCGTGACCGAGTATGGCCCGCTCAGAATACAGCAGACTCTGCTTACACCACTTCTGTTCACATGAGCCAGTCTCTCAAACCCGGTAAACAAGCTGGGGATGGAGCCCAGGAAGGAAGCGCCGATTTTGTGTGGAGGCCCCATGGCCCGCTCTTGGGCACTGACAGATGCAGCTGCTCCGGGTACACGGCCCCTTCTCTCCCCGCCACTCACCGTACAGTTTCTCCCAGGTGAGGATGAGAGCAGTGAAGCCGATGAAGAACATGGCGGCGCCCACAACTGTCTTCCACTCGTTCGTGCTCCTGTTCATTTCCGCGAAGCTCTCCTTGAACTTGAGGCGGTACACTGGGGACAGAAAGGACAGCGCTGCAGGCGCAGAGGGCCATGGGGACCGACAGCCCCTCCGCAGGGCGGGGCTCCATCACTCCTCCCCACAACACAGGGGCGGCAAACATACAGCTAGGAACACAACACAGGCCTGAGGTCCGGACGCACCCACGCACACTTAAGGGGGAAGGAAGGAGATGCATGAAGTTATGGAGTTTACTCTGGGCACAAAAAAGCAGTGGAATTCCTTCTCCTTTAGATGAAGGTTTAAGGGTCTGTTTAAGCCCCTCTTTCATGCCTCTTTCCTACCTCTTTCCTACCTGACAGTGAAATTTCACTGATCTTCCATCAGTAATTTACAGCCAACCCAGTCCCACCCAGGGAGGCCCCGAGAAGCTACTCTCACACGCTAGGCCCTCCGCAGAGCCCTGCTCAGCAGCTCTGCATCCCTGTTCCCGCTCCTCCCCGGGGGGGCTGGAGCCCACAAGCCTGGACAAAGGGGCCTGGGCCCTGGACAGCCCCACACAGCCACAGCACCGCACCCTCCCCAGCACGCTGGGCTCTGGGCAGCAGCCCAGGACCAGAATTCCCGCCCAACGCAAGCTGCCCTTGCTTCCCTTCAATACCCACGTTCAACTTTCTCATCGATGGAGAGGCTGCTCCAGGAGGCCTTCTCTTTTTCCTTCAGGGCCTTCTGGCTGGCAGAAAGGCTCCTGACATGGGCCACGTCGGGCAAGGGGTAGTCACGCCGGTCGACGTAATTCGGGAGAGCGTAGTCTTCACTCCTTACAACACTTCCTAAAACATGCAGTGGTTAAATATTTGAAAATTCACACAGGTTCAGAGTTACAAACAAGGCGGTGCTTCTAAAAACCAAATAAGTACGCGTACGTGCACCCTGAAAACTTCAGTTATCCCAGGGGCTGCGGCCACCATTCCAAACAGCCACAGGACTGTCATGTGCAACACGGAGCAGGCCTGTCCTGAGGGGCCCAGACGGCAGAGTGAGGCTGGCAGATGGGTAACAGCAGCGCTTTTCATCACAGCAAAACAGAAACCTGCCAGGGGCATCGCTAACAAGGCGGTACTTCCAGCAACGACCAGCGTTCATGCAGAGGTCAGAGAGGGCGCTCAGGTTCCCTGGACTGGACTGCAGACTGGACTAAGTGAAGGCCCTTCTGCAAGGGACTCCAACTAATGGGGAAGAACAAAAACAATATAAAACTCATGAAATGGGCTTCCCTGGTGGCGCAGTGGTTGAGAGTCTGCCTGCCGATGCAGGGGACACGGGTTCGTGCCCTGGTCCGGGAAGATCCCACATGCCGCAGAGCGGCTGGGCCCGTGAGCCATGGCCGCTGAGCCTGCGCGTCCAGAGCCTGTGCTCCGCAACGGGAGAGGCCACAGCAGTGAGTGGCCCGCGTAACGGGAAAAAAAAAAAAAGACTCATGAAAGAAACAAGGCTCAAAGTTCAGAAAGATAGATGTATGAAACGCTGGTTACTGCACCCCTGCTTATTACAGCAAAATATCAAACAACCTGTGTCCAACCAAGGACGCACTAAGAAGCTGTGCTCCTTAGAAACGCGCCATCATGGAGCCATTTGGCCTGTTCAACAACGGTTTACCAAGCACCTACCGTATGCCAAGCGTGGCTCCAACCTGGGATCTTCAGTGAACAAAGCAAACATTCCTGCCTACCAGTGTCAACATGCTAGAAGTGGGAATCAAACAATAAACTACAGAGCATGTTGGGAAATGAGAGATCTGGAAAAAAAAGGCAAGCAGAGGAAGGGAACCAGGGGTACATGCATGGCAGGAAACAAGTTACAACAGTACAATGAATGACAGAGATCCATGTGCCCAAAATGGAAAGAAAATTGTGTACCCACCAAGTCACAGAACACTATCAGGGTTATGTTTTCTTTTTAAAAAGCTAAGTTACATGTAGATACTCACAGGTATGTGTAACTAAACACACAAAATCCCTGGCAAGTTAAACCCAAGCTGTTATCAGTGGAAAGAGGAGAGGACAAAAATGAGGATTCTGCTCAAAAAGTCAGAAATTTTAGTGCCTTCAAGCAGGTGTGTACCCAGGTATTCTTCCAGTAAAGAGCAGGAAAAAAAAGGAATATCTTCAATTTTATTTAGGGTTTTCCCTCTGCAAAAAGCTGTGTTCAATTCTACCCTACATCTGCAAGAAAATTTTGTGTTCCAAACTGATTTAGAGGTATGAAGTCCTGCAAAAATGCTTCACCTCCATTTAGCTTAGTCCCAATGATTAAAATCTCCGCAAACATGTTAACAGTAGTGAAATAAAACCTTAAGTCTTAAAGCAGTAAAATTTCTCTAGATGCGTACCTGTGACTTGCAAGTGCCTACCGTACTTATATATTTATATCCGACCTTATCCCAAAAGGATTTGAGACGAAAATGGCTAGAATTACCTTCCAATTTAAAAACTCTCAAAATGATGAGTGGAGTACAAAGCACTCAGGTTACACATGATTTATTAAAAATAGATGTTAACTGGGGTCATGAGAATGTTCTACAATTGACTGCGTGATAATGGCACAACTCAGTGAATGAACTAAAAACCACTCAAGTGCACCCTTTAGTGGGTGAATGTGTGTTATGTAAATTCCATCTCGATAAAGCTGTTATAAAGACGTAAATGCTCATAACCTTCGAGCACTCTAAGCATAAAATTGCACTTTCTAGAACAAGAATGGCCAATTCGTGATCTCAGGGCTGCCAAGGGCTCTTCAGCACTTTGGGCCTGGTCCCCCGGTAAATGGGGGGCGGGGAGGGGAGTGCGGAGCACAAACACATAAAGGTTAACACACCAAGCATTCCTGTTAAAAAGAGAGAAAAGCAAAGACTTTGCATTCTAGTGCATATTTTAGCATGTCCATCCTCAACCTGGATGGATTTTGAGGAGCCTCTGCTGAGGCAATCTGGTGAATCTAAGCTCCCCTCTCAATCAGACGTGTCACCACACAAATATCCAAACTTCCCACGAGGGCTACCAATGGTGCTCCAGACTGTGATATTTTATGTGGAAAACCGGTTCATGTATTTGTGTGCGACTTGTACAACTAAAACTTTAAAATTAAAGGACGAGACTTGTCTAATGGACTGCAGTTCTCTCCACCTGCCTACCGTGTGCTGGAGACGCGGCAATGAACAAGCCCGGCAAGGTCCCTGGCCTCCAAAGCTGGTGCTCTAAAGGCAGGTGACACTCAAACTACCCCAAATCCAGTCTCTAAGGAAGCACAAAGCAAGGTAAGGCAGGACAGGTGGTCAGGAAAGGCTGTTCTAAAATAACACCTGCACGGAGGTTGATGATTCGAAAGAAGCAACAATCCACACCTGTGGAGCTGAGGCAGGAGCGGCCAGCGTGGTGCATCTGAGGAACAGAACACCCGTGCGGGCTGGGAGCCTGAGCCCACAGGAAGGGCTGGTGTGGGCTGCTCTTTGCCGCTCTGGGTCTGACGTGACAAGACCAGCGAGGCTGGGCGCTGTTCGTACTCCAGGCACAAGAAGCCAGCGGGGGCTTCAAGAAGGGACTGACTAGATCTGACCCCCTCTGCCTAACGCAATACCCTAAGAATAAATCACGGCCAGGGCCACCAAGGGAGGTTCGAGTTGACTTCTTACAGAAGATCCGAACGACCAAAGGGACATGAAGGAACTCCTGGGGGTGACGGAAGTACTGAAAGTCCTGACAGGGGTCGCTGTTACACAGCTGTGTGAGTGCACCTAAATCCGTAGAATCGTAACACCTAGAAAAGATAAATTTTCCTTTCTGTAAATTATACTACCAACTAAACTAAGCAAACAAACTAAAAGCTAAGGAAATATATTAGCAAAACCAAAATGGAAACGAAATGTAATTTCTGTCCCACGTGACTTGCCAGGCTTTTAGCGAAGGAGGGCTTCTTTCTGCATGTATTAACTCAACAACTAATTTTTTTCATTACCTACTCATTTAAATTACATATTTCAATAATACTCTCACTAAAATGATCTGTTTTAGAGTCTGTGTCCATAGTGTTGCCCTGAGCAATACCAGCAATATAGAGACATGTAAGACAACAGGATTGCCAATCAAAGGACACAACTTCAAGGAAAAATTCACACACAAAGCAACTCAGGCAACAGCTTTTGAGCCCCTGGATACGTAAGCCTTGCTCTCTGACTTTATCACCCACCTCTCAAGCCTTGCCCTCGACCCCTCAGTACACAACCTGCCATGCTGACTTGCATTTCCTCCTTCTGCTTGTTCTCCCTCAGACTGGAATGCCACTCCCATCTGGAATGTGAGGTTAAACCTACTAGCCCTTCAGCAGAGCAAGGCCTTGCCTCTAGAAGCCTCCCCTGTACCCCAGAGGCCAGGTTAAATGTTTCTCCTCAGGGTCCATCTCTTACTGAAACGCTGCCTTCATGTATCTTCCCTCTCCAGACTGCAAACATTCTTGGGGAATGATTTCATATCTCATATTCTTTTATTCTAAGTGCCTAACAGTGACAAGTACAAAGAAGATGCTTGATAAATGCAAAACTAAACTTGCTATGTGCCAGGCACTGCACTAAGCTGTTTACATATATTTCAGGTGAGGAAACAGATTCCTAAACTTGAGTAACTAGTCCAAGGTAGAAATGAGATTGAACCCAGTTCAGGCAAGGAACTCCAAGCTCCTTCCCTTCCACTGTCCCAATAATGTAAACCATGTTCAAGGTAAGTGGCTGGGAGTTTTGTCGGAGGAAGAGAGTGTTAAAGTCAGGTATAGTGGGGATCTCTTAAAAGGGGTGGAACTTGAACTTGGACCTGAAAATATGGGAAGGGAAGGAAAAGGGGGGAAATATCAGTACAAGCAAAGACTCAGACCAGAATTCAATATGATTCATAAATAACTCTCTAATCTAGAAGTTTGCCCCATTAAAATATTTATACCTCCCCTCAAGTTCCTCATCATCGTGATCAGGATCTTAGCCATCTCAGCCCTCTGTGTTTGAAACGCCAGCACAGGGCCTTAAACAGAGCAGAGCAAAAAGAAAAGTTACACTTACCATGTGCCCGTACACACACCGAAGTGGAAATTGCTCGCTTGCCAATTAGGCTAAGTACTCTGGTAGCCAACATCCTGAAAGATAAAAACGTACCTTCCCTATGAATAGCGTAAACACCTATTAGGAATGATTCTCCTTTTTGCCCCAATGCATTCTGGAAGTCAGTGCACTTCTTTTTTCTTCGTCTCCCCCTAACATAACTGATCCCATTACTGACTCTGAATTCACAAATTAACCCAGGATGAGGTTTTTTTTTTCCTCAGCAGCAGTCAGCACGTTTTAACGGAACTTCACTAAAAACCAAGCATCATATGCGTGCACTTAAGGCAATTCGGAGAAAACTGGGTTTTTGGGCTTTTTTGCATATCGTTCCTCTGCTTTTGTTTTTTAAACATTGGCTTTCTTACAAAGACAAAAGAAAAATATTTTCAAAGGAGACTCTGGAAAAGCTAGAATGTGCTGCTCTGATGGGCTCCATTGTTCAGAGAAAAAAGTCAACAGTTCAAAGGGACGGTGGCACGCACTGCATTCATTATTTGGTTTAAGACCTAATGTGTGCACAAGACAGGAAAGGGAAACCCGGGAGAAAGGCTGCAAACAGGGCCCTGGGCCACTTCCAAACCCCGCAGGACAACGAATGACCTGGATGACCCACCTCTCACCTGGGCCTTCAATGAATCATGCCTAGCTCCCCTACCTCCCCCTCCCTTAAAACTGGACGTTTCAGGGGACCCCACCGATGACGAAGAGGACGCCAAACGCATTCAGAAAATACCCATTACGGGCAGAATAAACAGAAGCATGACATCACGGTTGAACTCGTTCCCGTTTCCCGTGTTTTCTCCCCCTGCCTGGCCCGCGCGTGGGCGGACGCCGAACGCCTGCCCCTGAGCCCCGTTACACCCGGGGCGGTGGCGCAGCACCTTCTGAAGCGGTGGCCGGGAGCCCGCAAAGCGACCTGCCCTAGGGTGCGCGCCCGCGGCCAGCGGACGCTCCAAGGTCAAAGCCGAAGCCAGGCCGCGGCAGCGCAGGCGAGGACCGGCCGATGCTTCTGGGAGGCACAGAGACCGCCACCCGGCGGCTCTGGAGCCCGAAGCCCCCGCCGGCCGGCCTCAATGTCACCGGGATCGGAGACCCAGCGCCGGTTCCTGCTGGCGCCGCTCGGCGCGCACGCAGGCCCGACGGCTCCCTGCGCCCGACCCTCACCAGCCTCGCGACGCAGACCGGTCGCCGCCGCCTCACCTGCCGCCGCCCAGCCGCTGCTCACCGTGCCCGCCAACGACCGCCCTCTACGCCCCGGCTGCTCACGACCGGAAGACGGCGAGGCCGCGCCGCGGAGCACCAAGGGATCGAGGAAGACCCCACCCCGCGCCGACCGCACTGGAGGTCACAGGACCGGAAGTCGGGGGGCGCCGCGAACGTCGTAAAACGCAGAGCCGGGCTGCTTTCCGGCGGCCGCTGGGAGACAGCTTTTCGGCGGCGACCGGCGAGAGGCGCTAGGGGAGTTTGATGTGGGATCTTCGGTCTTTCCCGGGGGGAAGCCGGCGTCGAGAGGAGCCGAGCCCGAGCGGGGCCTGGCCTGTGGGGGCCTCCGCCAGCCGCGGAACCGCGCCAGGCAGCCGCCGCCTCGTCCCACTTGTCCCCTGAGGCGCCGCGCGGCCGGGCAGCGGATCCAGGCCTCGGCCGGCGCCGGGCCTCCGGGACGCTCCCGGGCTCAGCATGCCCGGGGTGAAGCTGACCACCCAGGCCTACTGCAAGATGGTGCTGCACGGCGCCAAGTACCCGCACTGCGCCGTCAACGGACTGCTGGTGGCCGAGAAGCAGAAGCCGCGCAAGGAGCACCTTCCTCTGGGCGGCCCGGGTGCCCACCACACCCTCTTCGTGGACTGTATACCCCTCTTCCACGGCACCCTGGCCCTCGCCCCCATGCTGGAGGTGGCCCTCACCCTGGTAAGCGCGGGAAGGGTCCTGCCTCGGAATCAGCAGGGCAGCAGACCGCCTGGCGATCAGCTTCCGAGTAGTCCCAGCTGGAAGCTCACAGTGGTCCAGCCGGAGTCTAGACCCACCCCCGAGGTAGCCGTGACCACGAACGGACGACCCGCGAGGGCGCATAGGACTTTGCCTGCACTTAGCAAGGGCCCGCAGATGGCAGCTCGTAGTGGCAGCAGCCGCAGGAGCGATCTTAACCGTCCTGGGTGTTTTTAGACGCTTTAGGCGACGAATAATATATTAATTTTCTCACACCAGTATCCTTTATAGAAACAAGCCGTCGTTAACTGAGCGATGATTTGACAGCGTTTGTATTTGGGATTTTGAGTCACGGGAAGTTTTGACACTGCGGTTTGGCTTTTGCGCACCTTCGAGGGGCCGGATCCGTGTCTGCTTGGGTGTAAAGGCTGCGGTTCTTCCGACCCCGGACCCCGAGGGTGGAGACACGTGTAGAGGCAGCGTTGGCCTCACGGGCACTGCTGCCCGAGAATGCGCCCGAGCGCTTTGGAAGGGAAGCTTGTCTGTCCTCCTTAGTGACATCTAGAATGCACCCGTGGTTTTAAAAGCTAAAACCCGCAGATGGCAGGTTTGTGGAATTTAAAAGCCGGAGCAGACATGCCTTCCAGCCCGCACACTTCTGTGGGTCTGCTCACGACTGGTCTCTTGGAGTACAGTGAGAAAAGATGTGGCATAGGGATAGGCTGGCTGGTCCTTGAATCCTAGGCAGTGCTTGTTGAGGCGTGGTGACCCATAAAGGAAAAAAGACCACCGATGAATTTGAGTTGAAACCTTAGGGGAAAATAAACTGTAGACTCAGACCTGCCTGGCTTGAGGTATAGTTTTTCGTATACATATAAACTATGATACTAAAAAGAATTAGTTGATTATGCAAAAAGTAGTTAAGTTTGAGAAGGTGTAGGTAGAAGTCCTTTCTCTCTACCTCCCAACGAGTAGAATGAATCCATTTTGTAACTTACCTAATTATGACACCCATGTAAATTCTTGGTAAGCAGAAAGTATCTTTAGACAAACGGTCCTCGCCTAAGCTTACTGGGCACATCTTTGAATGCCTGTTAAACTGAGTCATTGTCTGAATTTCTTCATATCATCTTGGGGCAGGAGATAGATAAGAAGTAGATGATATTTATGAAATCAACCATTTTAGCTCCTGAAGAAATAGCTTGTCAGTAGCAAAGCATCCCTAGGGTGTGCATGTGTCTGTCTGTTACTTCAAGTCTTTTCAACCACCTGTCTTGATGTTCGTTATCAAGGGAATTGCGTGGTGATTAGATATGTGAAGTGCATTCACTTGCGGGGACTAGGTTAACCAGTAGCGCTAACGCAGGATCATTCAGTTCTCCAGTAGTGTCAGGCCGGTGCTGGGGGAGGGATATGGCTATGGATCAAACACTGTACCTGCTTAGCGGTTGAACTTGTACCAAGCGGGCAAGTACAGTAGCAAAGAGTAAGTGCCATATCAGGAGTTAAGCAGAAAGTGGGGAAGGTTCAAGTAACCCAGCCTTCCTTCAGGGGGTGGAGGAAAACCACTCAAGGCAGAGGGAGTAGCCTGTGCAAAGACCAGGAGAAAATGGGGGGAGGGGTATCTAGGGAAGAGCTGAGTGTAGAGTGTAAAGCGGCCTGGCATGGAGAGCGGTGAGCAGCGGGCAGGTGGAGTTTGGGCTCCACCGTGAGGACAGGGAAGCCGCTGGAGGGGAGTTGCATGGTCACACGTGTGTCCTGGAGTGATTGCCCCAGCCTGTAGCAAAGACGATGTCGGAAACAGGAGTGTATGTAATGCTAGAGGCAGAGAGGTGGCCTAAACTAAGTGCACTGTGGAAGCAGAGGAGACAGACCAGAGAGAGCCAGGAGGGAGAGTCCACAGCGTTCAGTGACTAATCGTGTGGGGACATAGGGAAAAGGAAGCAAGGGTGACACACCTGTATTTCTGACTTAAGCGTCAGAAGGACAGTGGCACCATTCGTTGAGCGAAAATGACCTCTAGTGTCGACAGCTGAAAAATGGGTATGAAACTCAGAAGATGGGTTGGCTGGAGACATAGATGGGGGACCAGTAGCTTCTCAGTGACTTTTGAAGCCGTGAGAGCAGGTCCTGTTGCCTGGGACTGTGTGTAATGAGTAGAGAGCCATGGACAGAAACCTGAGGAGCTCCAGCTTCTGCGGGGTGGGTGGAAGGAGGGAAGTCAGCAGACTAGCCAAGGTGGAGCCAGGGTGGGTAGGAGGAAAAGGTGTGTTGCTTTAAATCCCTAGAAAATCCTGTCAGAAATAAAGAGCATCTTAAAGGCAAACTTGAGCCTCACTTGGAATTGTCAAAATAGGATTAATTCTTTTCATTCTTAAGTAAGCTCTACAGAGTTAAAGGGTTAGTTCCTTATAAATGCAATACTTGAACGAATTAAATATACCAACTGTAAGCAAGGGCATCGGAGTCGCCTTTACATGAATTTTCCCCAAGGATTAGGGCTGTGTCCACCATTTACCTGGGGAGGGAAGGTGCCCAGAGGGGACCTTGACTCTTAAGGCAGGCCCACTGCCACAGCTTGTTAAGGGGCACTGCTTGAGGCCTTGTTCTGACCCTGTTCCCCCTGCACCACTGCACGCTGCACTCCAGACTCACCTTCCAGCATGTCCCCAAATGTGCCCTTCAGTGTTTGGGTCTGCTGTCCGGCAAAATTAAGTGCCACTAGATTCTCTGCGCTTAGCTTCTTTTCACACAGTAGAAACTAACAGCCAAAGTTTTATCCTTGCCACGCAGTAGTGGTTTGTGCTTACTTTTCTTCTACTGATCAAAACTTTGAATCATAGACTCAGAATTTGAAAAATACGAGAAAGATGTCAACTGAGTACAAATTAAATAACTTTCAAAATAAAGTTATAAAGGAAAATTTGCAATTTGAGTCCATCCACAAATTTTGTATTAACAATTAAGATATTTAAGTTTATATCATTCAGCTTTTGACTTAGCAACTTTATAACCTGAAGGCAGTGAAAAAATCTCAGTGTATGGAGCCATGTTTTATCAGCTACAGAAGATGTAGTTTTAATAAAGCATCTAAATCCATAAAACTGTAAGCGAGGCCTAATTCTCACAGCTTGTTTCTATTCAGGGAGTTTCGTATTGAGTTATTTTTGATAAGTGGGAAAGACTGACTTGATATGCAGTCCATCAAAGGGCAGCCTCAGATTCCTTTGCAAGGCTTTTCATTATAATTTTCCATTAAAAAAAATATCCTTGCATTTCTGGGTGCTTTCTATCTTTTTTTTAAGTACTTATGCCTGTTAATTTACCCTTATAACCCTTTGACGTAGGTAGGGATGGAATTATTTCTAAAAGCAAAAATCCATAAAATGTCAGTAGGGAAATGAGCATAAACCTACTGTTTCCCTAAGCCCTCTTTGCCCTCTTCCCCCGTCGGTGGCTTCCTGGTGCCGTGGAGCTGCTTTTCATTACATTCTGCTCCCGTGACTTCCTTCTTTGCCGGTTGGTCTAGTCACCGTGACTTGGGTCTAGAATTCTTTCTGCTGCCTCCACATGTGCCTTCTCTACTCATCTGCACAGGCTGCTGCCCCTCTGGCTTTTGGCTCACCCCCTGCTTCCTCCTGCCCCCTTTTCTCTCCAGAACATAAACGTGCTGGCCTGGGAGAGGGAGCTGGCTGCTCTGGGTTCTCCTTTCAGTTCTTCCCCTTGACCTTCACCCTCTGTCCGCATGCCATTTACCTCCAGAGCTTTTCCTCCTCGGAGCCAGCTCCTTTCCTGCCACAGAAGAATCAGCAGCCGACTTGAGAAGGAGCTTTTCTTGTCCGTGAAACTAACAACCCCTCTACTTTTAGAAGCCAAGGCCTGCTCATTGCTGCAGACAGGGAGGCTGACAGACACACCCAGCTTGTAAGCGGCAAACATGGGAGCAGTGCCCTGCTGGGGGCGGTGCCCTGCTGGGGGCGGCTCGTATCAGCTCCCTGCCTCGCCTACTTCATGGCTATTACATAGCCACATGAGGTGGCTGATGGTGCTTCGAAAATTACAGAGTGCCTCATACGTGCAAATGTTAGCGAGATTGCTGAGAGAAGCTGCTTTCTTTGTGCAGTCTAACTGGGAACGGATGAGTTGGGCCCAGGGCCTTCAGTCGTTCTCCTATGTGTCTGGAATGGAACGAGCCTGAAAGGGCATTGAACAGAGGGTGGCAGACTTAGGCCAAGGTGAAAGTGTCCTTTCCCTCTGAAAAGTAAAAGAAACTACATAAGCAAACGCAGGATTTGGACCCTGTATTCAGAGTCACTTGACGAGTTTCAGAGTGTTGCCCTGAACTTTTTCATTTTGATCGTTCACAAGATGCATCACGGGAGTAGGGCATCTTAGCAGCAAGATGAGGAAGATGGAAGCGGATTCGTTGAGAACAGCGGTCAGACAGCTTCTCAGTTCTTTTGCCTTGTCCTGCCCCACTTGGGAGGGAGCGAGTTGCCGTTTGGGCTGACTTCAGGATTCTGAGGGCCCTCGAGCTGCCTGCCCCACCCCCACCCCCACCCCCGACTGTCCACACTGCCCGCCTCCTCCCACACCCTGACTCTTACTGCCCGCCGGGTCACTCTCACCGATGAGGTCTGGTTCCACTGAAACTTGTTTACGCTACCTCTGTGGGCTCTGATGGCCAGTTCTCCATTCCTCAACTGGGGGCCACTTGTGTCTGAATCTGGACAGCTGCGGACAGGCTGAGCCTGCCTGTCACAGGCAGCCACACTTAACTTGGTCGTTCTTTTTTGAATCATTGAAAGGTTTCTAAAGCCAAGCCAGAGCTTTTGTGCCTCGTTCACTTTTGTGACAGCCTCTTCAAAGAGTTCTACTAGGGAGATCCCTGGTGGTCTAGTGGTTAAGACTTAGCGCTTTCAATGCCGGGGCCCAGGTTCAATCCCTGGTCAGGGAACTAAGATCCTGCAAGCCATGCAGCATTGCCAAAAAAACAAAAACAAAACAAAAGGGCTTCCCTGGTGGCTCAGTGGATAAGAATCTGCCTGCTAATGCAGGGGACATGGGTTCGAGCCGTGGTCCGAGAAGATCCCACATGCCGCAGAGCAACTAAGCCCGTGCGCCACAGCTACTAAGCCTGCGCTCTAGAGCCTGTGAGCCACAACTACTGAGCCTGCGAGCCACAACTACTGAAACCTGCATGCCTAGAGCCCGTGCTCCGCAACAAGAGAAGCCACCGCAGTGAGAAGCCCGCGCACCGCAACAAAGAGCAGCCCCTGCTCCCCTCAACTAGAGAAAGCCCACGCGCAGCAACAAAGACCCAATGCAGCCAAAAGTAAATTAAATAAATTTTTTAAAATAGAGTTCTACTAGAAGTTCAAGGTCCTGACATTATTTTTCTGCTGCAGTTTGGTTAATAGGCCCTTGGAGTTTTACATACAGGAATTCACCCCTCGTTAGGTAAAGGGTAAGTTGAGGTCTGCATTGTGTTTGTCACAAGAATCATCCTTCATGTCAAGTGGCTCCTCTGCTCACTGAGTGCAGGTATAAGGTGACACCATGTGTTTGCTAAGGATTGAGTCCTGAACCGATACCTTCAGCCCAGGAAAGGGATCTGGGAGTAGCTTAGACTGCTCACTAAAGACTGCTGTGGGAGTCCCTGGTGGCGTAGTGGTTAGGAATCTGGGCTTTCACTGCCATGGCGCGGGTTGATCCCTGGTCAGGGAACTGAGATCCCGCAAGCTCATGGCCATGAGCTTGGCACAGCATGGCCATAAAAAAGGACTCCTGCTGGGGATGGTCAGGATGGCAGCAGCAGAAAATAATTATCTTATATTAAACGTAGCTGTGGTGGGCCAAAAAATGGCCCCCCAAGATGTCCACACCTTAATCCTTAGAACCTGTGAACGTGTAACCTTACGTGGTAAAAGGGACTGCAAATGAGATGAAGTTAAGGATCTTGAGACGTGATTATCCTGGATTGTCTGATGGACCCAGTGTCATCACAAGGGTCCTCGTAAGAGGCAGCAGGGTAAGAGAGAGAAGAGTTGTGACAGAAGCAGAGGTCAGAGTGGTACAGCCACCAGCCACACCTAGGGTGACCCCTAGGTGTCGGAAAAGGCAAGGAATGAATTCTCCCCTAGAGCCTCCAGAAGGAATCAGCCCAGCGGACCCATTTTAGACTTCTGACCCGTAAGATAAATTTGTGTTGTATTAAGCCACTAAGTTTTTGTAACTTGTTACAAGGGCATTAGGAAGCCAGGACAGTAGCCAAACTCGGGATACCATCTGTAGTTGTGACTGGCTATAAGAACAGCCCACACCACAGGGCTGGGAGAGGGGCACTAAACTGGGCAGGGGTGAGGGGCACCTCAAGTGAGGACACACTCAAGAGACCAGTCTTTGATCAGAAACAAAGACTGAGACGGCTACACTAAAGGATGGGCTAACTTATGGGTTTGAGTTCAGGGAATGGGGTCAAATGCCAAATTTTAGAACAGGGCTATGCCCTTTGATACCACATAGAGATACATTTAGAAAGAAATGAAAGAATTTGCTGCTGTAAGCAGCAATAGAGAGTTTCTAGAACTCATTCCTTTAAGAGGTGATGGAAACAAAGTATAAGTAATTGTGGAATAATTTGCATCAAAGTTACAGTGAAAGAGCCATTATATTTTGTAGACATGGCTCTCGTCTTTTGAGTGGATGACCAAAACGTCTAATTCGTTCACTGAGCCTTGGTTTTGCCCAAATGTGGTAATTTGTGAGCTCTTAGGAAGCCAGAATTCTTATTCTAATCCTCGTGTGAGCGAGGGAACCTTGGTCTGTAACCATTCTGTAATGTCTGCTTTTAGTCATAAAGGAGACTGTTGGAGACCCAAACCAGAACTTGAGAAAAAGAGCAGTAGAGCTATGTTTAAAAAAGGAAAAAAATAAGAAAGAAAAGGAACATTTTTAACCAGTTACTTTGAAAAACTCGAGGATCAATTTTATCTCTTCTTTTGCAGACTGAGGATAGAATTTACTGCAGTGTATTATTAAAATTCCATTATGGCAAAACAGGATGACCTTTTGTTGCTTTGAATAATAGCATTAGATCTGCAGGATGCTAAATCTGATGAGAGAAGAGTGGCATTATAAAACAAAAAAACTTTAAAAATCCGCTGCCATGCTCCCATTTAAAAACATGCCACAGAGAAGGGTGTGCGCGTGCACGCGCATGCCTGTTTACCCCACATCCCGGCATGATGGATTTTTCATGGTGTGTTGCTAGGAATACTGAGATACGGTATTAAAGCAGTTGGCTTTGAAACAGACTTATATTCCCAGGCTGGCTGTGCTAGCTGGCTGTGCAAACTTAGACCCTCTCCGAGCTTTTTAGTTGGCTTATCTGTGAAGGATTGATTTAAATGATCTTGAGGCTTATTGAAGCCCCAGAATGCCTCAGTGCTTCATATTGTCAGAGAAGGTGGGTAACTCTGGTCTCACCTCACCCGTGGCACTGTACCCATTTAATATATGTCTACACTGGGGCCTTGTTCTGGGACTGGGGAAGGAGGTCATTCCTCGTGTCCAGCCCCACCCTTCCGAGTCATTACAGGGTCCTCCTCTGTGGGAAGACCCCACCTCAGTGAGAGTGGGAGCCCAGGCTCTTGTTTGCTTTCTCCGGCCTCACGTGGACTGTGGAAAGCAAATTGGGGTGACCTTCTTTCCCCTGAACACCCATTTCATTCTTGTTTTTTTTTTTTTTTTTGGCCGTCCTGCTCAGCTTGCAGGATCTCAGTTCCCCAGTCAGGGATTGAACCCGGGCCACAGCAGTGACAGCCTGGAATCCTCACCACTAGGCCACCAGGGAACTCCCCCATTTCATTCTTATAGGGAGGGGCACTGTACCCATTTAATATATGTCTACACTGGGGCCTTGTTCTGGGACTGGGGAAGGAGGTCATTCCTCGTGTCCAGCCCCACCCTTCCGAGTCATTACAGGGTCCTCCTCTGTGGGAAGACCCCACCTCAGTGAGAGTGGGAGCCCAGGCTCTTGTTTGCTTTCTCCGGCCTCACGTGGACTGTGGAAAGCAAATTGGGGTGACCTTCTTTCCCCTGAACACCCATTTCTTTTTTTTTTTTTTTTTTTTTTTGGCCGTCCTGCTCAGCTTGCAGGATCTCAGTTCCCCAGTCAGGGATTGAACCCGGGCCACAGCAGTGACAGCCTGGAATCCTCACCACTAGGCCACCAGGGAACTCCCCCATTTCATTCTTATAGGGAGGAGGATACAGGGCTTATATCTGACTTGTCCCAGCATCCAGGGGTTGTGGGGGGGGGGGCGGTTCCCTCTGTTTATTGAGACTTGATATTTAAGGGAAAATCATTCACCTTTTCTTCCCAAATTTTGTTCTTCTTTCAGATTGATTCATGGTGCAAAGATAATAGCTATGTGATTGCTGGTTATTATCAGGCTAACGAACGAGTAAAGGATGCCAGGTATGTCCATGCAAAACCCCTCTGTGGTCTGAAAGAGTGATACTGTGAGGGAGATGATCTCTGATGCACGTTTTGACCTCTGTGGTCTCAGGATGCAAAATCTGTTAGAACGCCTCTGGGCCCTCTGTGCTTGTTTATAGTATTCCAGGGGGCCTGCGGTATGGGTAATTCCAAACAACAGTAATTCTAAACATTTATATTAACGTTGGGATTCTGTTCTGTATCTTCTTTATTTTGCTTGAAGGGAATTCATGTGATGAAAGCAACAGTCCAGGGCCTCCTGTTTCTATCCCCACTCAACTGTGTCTTGCTTCCCATTCCCAAGGTGGGAATGATGTAGGGCATAGCATTAGGAAAGAACTCCACTCTTTTGGAGGGTTAAAAAAAGAGTAACTTTTAGGTTTGGTGCTCTTAAGGTCTGATGCTTTGATGAAAATGTGGTGTTTGCTGCTTCTTTCATGTTAGGTTCCGGTTTCTTTTATCCAGCTATTTGCACCCACTGTGATTCTCACTGATGAGCAAAGCTGAGGTCTTTGCTTTATTTCTGCGTCAAAGTCCCAGAAGAAAAACACTTGACACCCTGTAGTTAGAATAATTTGTGGAGGACTTAATAAGGCGGTTGCTTCCAGAGGTGTGAACGGTATGTAAGAGAACTCAGGAGAGGGTGGTGCAGTCACCTGGAGCTGGTGACAAAAGCTGGTACCTGCGCTGCCGGAAGGGGTAGGGGGGGTTGGGTCAAGAAGTCCGGCCTGAGGAGAAGCGTGCCCTCTGGTCGAGGGGTACGACCAACAGCCAGCCTGATGGGACCTCACAGGCCCAGTCCCAGAGGAATCAGCACCCTGACCAGCCAAAAGCCAGAGGCAGAAGCCGGGGTGCCCTCACACGCTTCCCTCACGTGGCCAGGCGGCCTGGGACGCGGTGAAGGACCCCAGACCAAAGTGTCTCCTGGAGTCACATCCGCTTGCCCAGCAAAGGCAAGAAGCTGGACTCACAGCGTTAGGGCCATAATACAATAAGCTGATGAAACACTTCAGGGATGGAAGCCGTTTTGCCCTAGAGGACTGGGCCCAGTCGGGACTCAGAGGGAGACAGGGTCACCGGCGCAGACTCCTGTGAAAGCCTCTGCGTGGGCCACGGCGCAGGGGCGCCCTCTGAAGCCTGGCTCCCACGCTCTTCCCGCCCGCTGCCCATTCGGGCTCTCTCTCAGGTGCATCTCTTGTTGACCACACCTTCCTTTTGAGCCCACCTGCCTCCCGGGTGCTGATGAGCTGGGGCGTATTCATGGCCTATTCATGGCCCGTGTCAGTCTTGGTCTTTGTTACAGGAAAGAGGCTGCAGGGCACAAAGCGCCTGTCCCGGGCCAAGCTCTGTGCTGAGCCAAGCTGGACTCTCGGCCCTTGCCCTCGAGTTACTGGATTGAACACAAAAGGCACCGAAACCTAGGCCTGTGGTGCAGGCCCCCAGGCCCCATGCTG